ATATATATATATATATATATATATATATATATATTATATATTTTTTTTTTTTTATAATTAAGCTCTGAATTGAATAAATTGTCTTATATGAAATATCAAAGCATTTTTGGTATTATCGCGCGAATCCCATTCTTATAACTGTTATACTTTATTATTAAGATTTTTATAATTGAAAACTTGAATATACAAGCGAAATAATAATCTAGTGTGAAAAATTAAATATGTCTTATGTAAAACATAATTATATCCTTTACATAGAGCAGTAACCACCATATTGATGCACAAAAGTTGTAATTTCGCGGGAATCAGCGTGTATTAATAAAAATGCGATATTTTGTTTGTTACTGGTATTACTTGGGAAATATTCTTGACCTTTGCTATCTCTTGCGATTACTTCCAACACCAAAGTACTTACAAAAAAATCATTTGAAACATTATGTTTCTGCACCCTAGAAAAAAAAAGATGCTTGTAATATTAGATTTGATATGACATTAAATTTAATTATTCGAATAGTTTATATATAAAAAAATATAATAACCTTACAAGATCTTTATAAATACTTCTAGTAACATTTAAATATGGTTGTAATGTATCCTCGAACTGACACAACATCCCACCAAGAACAAGCATTTGAAAAATTCGGAACACAAATTCTTTTCTTTCGTCTTCTGCGTACAAATTGTATTCATCTGAATCTTCATCCAAAAGCATCTAAAAGTGCTTAAGATTTTTAAATAATATCTATATACTTTTAAAAATAGGAGAAATAGACAATTTTCCTTTTTTGTACATTGCAAATTTTGTAATCTTAATGTTCTATTAAAAAAAAGTTTATATTATAAAAATACAACTTATTCTTAGTGAAAGTAACTTACACCATGAAGATTGTCAGATATTAAAAAATCTTCTACTTGCATATCATATCTTTTCCTGATTGTTCCTGAACTATATGTTATTCCATTATTTGGGTCTTTCAATTTGTTAAAAAACGTCATACTTAAAACAGAACAAGGTACTTGTTTTATTTCTACAGTTGATGCTTGTATACCTGTAATTTTTTAATTACAAAAATTTTTTCATTAAATTTCTTTATGTAACTATAATAAATCTATTGAGAACAAATTATAATTACACACTGTACCTTGCCTGGCCCAAGTATCACCTTGTTTTGATAATAATGCTTTCACAACAGCATCATCTTTAAAGAAAGCCTACAAATTCATTATTTCAAAATAAGAATTATATATTTCTTTAGATATCTTTAAAAAAGACCAATTGTCTATTTTTTTTATTTTTATTGTATATAGGAATCGTAGAGCTTATATTTGAATATTTTTCTTTCAAGATGTTGAAACAATATTTTGCTATAAAAAGTAACTTACATCAACCAATTGATACTTGTGATAATATTGAAAAGGTTCATTAAATGAAAAATTCTGGATAACAAAATTTTCTTTCAAGCACCTGCAAATAAATATAAATTTTAAATTATTTTAATATATTAATTAATAATATACAACAGTAATAAATTGATATATGTGCGTGTGTTAGTAAAAGTTTACACTTCCTAAAAAATAAATATTCGCATTGTATGAATTCGATTATTAAAATTAAGCATTACCATTTGCAGAGATATTCTTGAGTATTTTTATCACTAATTCCAGGATAATTTTTTTCATTTAATGGCATAAATGTGAATTTCGGGTCAATCTCCATTATTATCGTTATTACGTATCTATGGAAACGACGTATACATCGTTCGTAAAAGTGCGTACACTCTATATATCAAATACAAAATATATTTGTTTTCAATTTAGTACATTGTGCGTAATAGAAAAATTATAAAAAATTCAATAAAATTTCATCTATATATACTTTGTTGTCATCTCGTAATTTATCTAATATATTAATTTATTTCTAAACAAAACGGTATACCAGTTGCATACGCGTATATAGATATCCAATATATATATATATATGATTATGAAATTTTAATTACATCTTCGATTATCTAAAGTATTGATTTTTAACATTGATAAATACATGCGTATGTATAGATAACGATGTGGCCTGCAGTAGATAATAGATGAAGTCGGCGAAAAGATCATGGCGCCCAATCAACGTCAACGTCAGCTTCTTTTGTCGAAGAGGGAACTAAAAAAGATCAATGGAAGGAGATTCTCAAAGTATATGAAATGTTTTCTCTCATTTCAATTTTTTTTAAAGCGACTCAGTAGATTGTGATAAACAACTGATACATGAAACGTTTGTCAAACGTCGCGCACCGGCTAACCCCTCTTACCATTCTGCAGTATTGAAACGTTTAACAGCCAATAATAAATATTACATGTATCTACAAAATTTAGGTATAACATTCATTCAGAAGTAAAACAAAAAATTGACTTAATTTTAGACCAGAGGAATCCTCCGACGCGGGATTCATTCATCCTCATACAGCCTTCAAACTATTGTTGTCAACGAGATTTTGTTCTGCTATATGGAGTCATATCACAGACTGTGATGAAACATATAATTACTGGGAGCCGGTGAGTTGTGCTAATTATAATATTTTTACGAGTGGATCACCTGTCACAATGTTTGTAAAGTAAATTTTCAATTTATCATATATTATATTCTGCATTGTCTTAGAGTCATTACTTGCTCTATGGAACAGGCCAACAAACATGGGAATACAGTCCTCAATATGCACTGCGTTCATATATGTACCTATTAGTGCACATAGTACCAGCAAAGGTTTATCATTATTTATTGGAACCTAATCCTGTGCTAGTTTTCTATTTTATACGATGCTTCCTATCTGTGGGTTGTGCGTTATCTGAAGTATACTTTTACATGTATGTCTTGTTTCTTATATCCATGCTGTATAAAACAATGAGTAACATAAGCTCCAAGTTTACAATATATTGTCACTTTATAACATATGATCTTGCATTTTTCCAGAAATGTCTGTCGTGAATTTGGCACCCATATAGCCAAACTTACATTAATATTCCTTCTTCTTAGCTCTGGAATGTATATCTCTAGTGCTGCATTTTTACCATCATCTTTTTCAATGTAAGTATTTCAAATAAGATCTATATTAAAATTCATGTATATTATGTATCTATGTACATTATGCATATATAGTACTCATATATTTATGTATATATAGTATAATATAGTATATCTGTAAATATTGTTATTATATCTGTAAATATCTGTAAATATTGTTATCATTCTTAGGTACTTCAGCACTGTTGCTACAGCAGCTTGGTACACCCGCCAATATGAACTAGCTATATTTGCTACTGCTATTTCTTCATTGCTAGGATGGCCGTTTGCTGCATTACTTGGGTATTTTATCTATAATACTAATTTATAATACTACACAAGCAAAACTTTTGCACAAAGGATATCATAATGAAGAGAAGAAAATTTATTCTTTTTGCCTCTGTTTTTCTAGACTTCCAATTGCTGTTGAAATGTTGATACAAAAACATGAATGGGTCAAATTTATAAAGTGGTTTGTCATATCTGCTGTTGTAATTGCAATACCAATGGTATGGGTAGATTCCATGTATTTTGGCAAATTCGTTGTAGCGCCACTCAACATTATATTGTACAATGTCTTCACCAGCCACGGACCTAACATTTACGGCACAGAACCATTCAGTTATTATATCATCAATGGATTCTTGAATTTCAACTTTGTCTTTATTGGTGCATTGCTAGCACCTTTAGGCTTGGTAAGTATCTTTGATATCTGCAATAAATTAATTAATCTTCTTTGATTTCTAATATCTGTAGATAATATATATATAAATCTGCAAATAAATAATATATAATGTACTTGGATTGCTGTTATAGCTTTTAGTATGGTTGATTGTGCCAGCACCACCGAGAGATCGTTTATGTCTTTCTTATTGGTATTCATTAGCTCCCTTATATCTGTGGATTCTCGTTTTCTTCTTCCAGTCACATAAGGTACATATTGAATAATACTATGAGAAAGAAGTGAGTGTATTTGAACAACAGCCATTTTTATCATAATTTTAATGATAATTTTCTTGTAAAACAAAACAACTTTTTCTCTACGATTTTTATTTGAAGTATCTGGGAAGGATTTAATTTTTAAAGGATGCACAACGTAATTGAGAAAATCAACTTTGTTCAAATGCACTCTATTTCTTCTTGTCATAGCAAATGATTGATCTATACAGAGAACAAGGAGATTGACGAGTCGAATATTGTCAACAGGAGGAACGGTTCTTGTTTCCAGTATATCCTATGATTTGTTTAGCAGGCGCTATAACGGTGGATATCGTACAGAAGTTATACTTTTTCGTTAGGACGAAACTCAATCCATCGCATATCAGTTGTCACTATTTACAATATACCATGCATATCACTATTCTAGCGATACTAACGTGTGGTCTTTTAGGATTATCAAGATCTTTGGCGATTTATAAAGGTTTATAACTTGTGATGAAACACAGATTTATTTCTTATTGATCTTTTTGTTTAAGTAACAAAATTCCTTAAATAGTTCACAAAACTTAACTTTTAACACTTTTTTTTTCTTGTTACTTTAGGGTATTATGCTCCCATGGAAATTATGATTGAAACTAATAAACTGGGCACCGAAGGTACAATACCTAACAACATTAATATAAATTTTTGTATTGGGAAAGAATGGCATCGTTTTCCCAGCAGTTTCTTCTTTCCATCTAACAAGTGAGTATTTAAGTGAGTATTTAAGTTATTTATGAAATTGAAGTTAACAAGTGAGTTAACTTCAATTTTATAAAATTAAATTATTTAATCATTAAATTATTATTGAACTTCCTATATGATATTTGACATATCTTGTTCTTACGCGACAATAAACTATTTTCAGTTGGAAGTTACAATATCTAAAATCGGAGTTTAAAGGCCAGTTACCTCAACCATTTTCAGATCATGAAAATGCAACAAGTATAATACAATCACATTTTAACGATTTGAATAAGGAAGAAACATCACGTTATGTAAGTTTTTATTTTATATAGATGATGAAATCTCTTGCTATTATATATGTGATTAATGTTCTTTCTTTTATTTTCAGTTTAATCTCGATAAATGTCATTTTCTATTAGATCTGGATGTAGGCACCAAAACAATTTTAGAGCCGAATTATTCTCGATTAAGTGACCATTTTACTATCATAAAATCTTCTAAATTTCTAGATGCATCAAAGTAAGTTTAAAATATTTATTTAAACTCATATAATATTTAATTATGATTTAACATATTAATAACAAATATTACTTTTGCATCTACTATTACCTATTATTATTTTTATGTTACAGATCACATCCGCTTTTCAGAGCTTTTTACATTCCTTTTCTATCTCATAAATTTTGTATATATGGTTCATATAACTTATTACAAAGTAATAAGTTCAAATCCATGCTTTTTTCTTCTAAACAGAAGAATTCTAAACTTTCGTAAGTAAAAAATATTGTATTAAATTATGAAAATGATGAATTGCGTAATTTATAAGAAATTTGCATAATTGTCAGAAAAATGTTTTTTATTGTTATATAATATTTATAATAATGTATATATATATATATAATTTTTTAAAAATTAGTTAAATCAAGTATTTTTATTTAACATTTTATTGTCCTAATGAAAATTTCTTGTATATTTGGTTTTAACTATGTTTATATTTCTGTGATATATGTTGTTTATAATATACATATACATAAATGCTATTTTCCATAAATTGTAAAACAAAATATTGTATATATATTAATAAGACAGTCCACATGTATTGATATAAATGTAAATATTTCATGATATGTATATATTACAAAATCTAATGTTATTTTCAAGACATTACATTAACATACAATAAGATACAAAATTGAGATTTATAAGATGCTTTGAAAATTTGTTCGAATTTCAATGACGAAAATTTCATTTTACAAATATCATTCCTTACTTATATATTGTATACAACTTATGTATTGTATTACAATTGTGACATTTCGGTAGCGTGTTCAAAAATAAATTGCACAGATTGAACGGAGAAATCACAATGCATATGTACATAAACCAACATTCATAATTTTTCTATAGCAACGAGTAAAGCCGGAAGTTTAGCAGTTTAAAATAGAATAAGAAAGTTGGTAAGCGGACAAAATCCACAAAAAAAGAGGGGACAACGTTCAGAAGTTCATATGATCCATACATTCATTTCTCAAAGTTAATATCATTGTCGAACGGGAAAGTGTACAAAGGTGTAGAGTTGTAATAGGTTATATATCATGGTGTCAAAAGTAAACATCACGAGAATAAGTGATAAGTTATGGAGACAGAGGTTAACACCAAATTTTGTGAATCGGCAGTTCCTCATACTATTTTCTGAAAGAAGAGAAGAAGAAGGTTAGTACCAAATGTCAAAAGCCGTAAATTTCAGATAACGTTTTCATCGAGTTCATGAGCGTAAAAATAAATAGTGCGACTGACTTTACCATAGGTCATATTATATAAAAAAAAAATGTTATCTGAAATTTACGGCTTTTGACATTTTGTACTAACCTTTTTCTTTTTCTTCTTCCACAAAATAGCACGAGGAATTGTCGATTCACAAAACTTGGTATTAATCTCGAGTGTATGAAGTTAGCCCCCCCTTTTTTTGAAAATAATAATTTTTAAAGTTGTTTCAAGTTGTTCTAACTTTGTACCAAAACAATATTATTTTATTGCAAACGGTTCTCCCATAAAATAAAAAAAAAAAACATTTTTTGGTTGGTCTTTTTTTAAAAAATCAAACATTTTCTTATCGACATAGGGTGTTTACGTTAAATCGAGTACGAGTTAGTTCCACTAAGGTCGAAAAATGTAATAGGCACAACCATCTAGTATCTTCATGGTTCAAGACAACTCAGTACTGCGTATGTACTTCCGATGCTCGAGTAGAGTTAGGGCGCATTCAGTAGAAAAAGCGCTCAGTGAGCAATCAACGATTATTGGTTCTTGCTATTAGATCCCTAAATCTAGACCAATTACATTGACAAATTACTCAACTGTTGTGCAACTGTTGAGTCTACTGAATGCAGCCTTAGTTAGAGTTAGCTAGAGTAGCGGATAAC